AAAATTGTCATCACTTTAAATTGGAGGAGTTTAATTCAAAGGGCTCTAAGGAGCTGTGGAAGCTGCTTGGGTTCTCCGTTAAAGCTAGATACCAAGCTGCCCTGCAAAAGTTCGAAAGGAACTTGTCTTCGAAGTCTGAATTCTGTATTGCAGATCTTAACTGACAAGCTCTTTAAAACCTATCTGGACATTTAAAAAAACAGCTGCTTTTTCTGACCTCTCGTGATGGTCATCTGTAGTACCACATGCAGGAGCAGCGTGCTGGTTTCCATGCTCAGTTCTCCTGGCTAAGCTGTGGTTCGTTGCTTCCCCCGGAGCAAGTGTTGCTGCAAAGATGGGACCTTGAAGGAGGCTTACACAAAACTAGGCCTAGTTCATGGTTCAGCTAAATTTCGTGTTGTATTCAAGAAACCAGTCTTTTAGGTACGTTATCCTGCTGAGTTCTTCACAAAATATGATTTTCTTCATCATTATACAGGATGACTATTTCTGAAAACTTTTAAATGGTTTCTCTGATCTCCTCTAAGGGAGGTTCTCAAGCTGCAGACAAAAACCAAATGAATTTTTTGTAATCTTCTCCAGTTGGGGTCTCTACAAAGGGAGCACTGTCTGTCTAATGCCGCTGACTATGCTTCTGCTGAGTTGGCAGAGCTGGTAACAAAGCAAGGTAATACAAATAAATAATAAATACTGGAAACCGAAGATAAAAGATTCCAGATCTGTGGCTCTTCCTGCTCCAAGCTATGCTTTTTAAACTTTGTTTTAAATGAAGAAATTACTTATGACGACGTTTGGTAACTATGCTAATTGTCACTTTTTAGCAGATACTGGCGGTTTTTAGCACTGTCTTTGTGCGCACAGTTTTCTGTGTTGCATGAATACCTGTACCAGCTGTGATAATATTTGCACCCAGTTTGCTTGTGACTTGCTCGGATTAGGGTACACCTAGGATATCCAATGTGCATAACCAGTTAAGGGATAGTAAAATTGACTCGGTAGCCACCAATACTGGAGCAGTCCTAGTGTCCTCTGCTACAAGGTTTCCTCCGAGGAAGCATTGCCTAATTTTTCTGTGTGTGTGTTTGTTTAAATTACACTTTGATTCCCTTGTTAATGCTAGCTTCTAGTTTGTTGGATTTATGTGCCTTGTGCACTGAGAGAAACCAGGTCGCATACTGTTGTGCACGTTTTCAGCGCTGCTCCTGGGGAAGGTAATAGAGAGCCTTTCTGTCTTGATTCACGCGCATCCTCCTGTTTAACCAAGCAGATTCAGATTACACGGAAGAGGTAAGGTTGGGATCTGTCAGAGCAGTTCAGTTGCTGGGTTTTTAAATGACCGGCTGAGTACATGTATCAGTTGTATTCAGAACCTGATATTTCTCTCTGGACGGAGTCGAGATGGCCTTACGTTGGCTGAGGCCACCAGCAATCACCTCAGGGGAGGTGGTCTCTGCAGGCGTAGATACAGGAGTCTGGTGGCAGAAATGTTGTGACCGCATTTCCTTTAAACAGCTGAGGGTGACAGGGAGCCCTCATGGGGGGAAGGAAGGTGTCAGGTTTTGCTAAAAATATTTTCCTCTGTTGTTTTTTTTTTTTTATTATCAAACATAAAATTCATTTGCAGATACAGTCTGCAAGTCTTATGTTAGAGAAGCCTTGACTAGGAAAGCAATGTCAGCCGGTGGGAGTGGGTGCTGGTGGGGCTGCAGGAGTAGGAAGGTGTTGAGACAAGAGCTCCGTGCCTAAGGAGCTGAAGGCGTCGGATTGCTGCCCATAACCTGAGAGCAGACACAGTAAACCGGACTGGAGGTGGGAGGACGGGCAAGAAACGTAGCTGTTAACACACTAATCTGCAGAATCACTTGTGGTTGAGCCAGGTCTGATTCTTTACAATGTCAGAGAAGAAAGGTAAAAGCCTCTTTGATCAGAATTCATCCCTGCAGTTACCAGTCTTTGGTTCTGCTGATAGCCGGGGTCAGAAAAATGTACTCACAGTTCATTTTATAATCTGTGGTTTGGCTTTTTTGGCTGGGTGCAACAACACGTTTCCTGAGCGAACTGTTCTGTATTCTCCCTCCAGAAAGGGGCCGTGTGGAGCAGCGAGCTGTGCCTTAGCCATAAGGAGCAGCACATGGTGACTCCCATTGTTTCAGCCTCTGCCGAGCAGTGCTTGCGTTGACACAGACGCTCAGGCAATTTTTCGATGTGGGAGCATATTTCATCTGTCTGAGTTCAAACAAGCGCTGAAAGCCACAGTCGCAAATAACACGGCGAGTTGTCTCATCCTAGAAGTTGCGTTGTTGCAGGAAATGAACAAAGGCTTAGTCAAGCTGTGCTGAGGCACGGCTGGCGTGAGATCCCAAGGCTGAAGTAACGTTGCATGTCCCACGTATGCAGGGATATTTCTCTGGTTCACTTCTGTTTTGGTTTGAAACTTAGGTATGGCTGACATCCAAGAAAAGATGGAGCCAGACTGGATTTGAGCTGTGGGGTTTAGTGCCATATGAGGGCTGGAAATCAGACCTGCCAGGGTTTGTGGACGTACATGCATTTTATTCCACCTTCATTGAATGGGAACTTTATCTTGACAATACTTAAGGGTGTCCTGAGGTGAGGGAACCTGGTCAGAGAGCAGGGAGTAAATTTAAACTGGGAGCCAATAAGTATAGTGGCGTAAAAAAATAAAATAATAATAATTAAAAAAAAAAAAAGGCATTGAAGACTGCTCCTGAAGAGTCTAGGAAGGAGCTACAGCTTGGAGTGCTAGAAGACATCTTATGTTGTCAATAGTTCACGATCATTACGAAGGCCAATCTTTCAGGATATCAAAAGTGAGTCTGAAAATTCGTTGTTTGCTTTTGAATAAGAAAAGTCAATAAGCAGAAATTTCCATAAGACTTTAGCTTATACCTTCACCTGGCGGTTGTCTGGAAAGAGTCCTGGGTCCACCCAAAGCTGCACTGGGAGCTGGTCACAGTGGATGAGATGAGCTGCATTTCTCAGTAGCTTCTTCTGCCTTTTCTTTCTATGAGATGTAAAATTTGAATGCATCGAGTGCCTTTAATGGAGTCTTTTAAACTTAGATTGGGAGTAGATATGGGAAGAGCAGTTTGCCATGTAGTTTTTTCATTCAAAACCAGATGATTTGTCCATGGAGCGTGGCTGTCAGAAAAAAAAACAGCGGAACTTCCTTAACAGTTAGTGAAAGTTCAAGATACGAGCATGTCTTATTTTAAAACGTGCAGTTTTCAATGCTTTTAACAGGGTGTGACTTTATAACCAGTAGTACCATACATTAATTGCATCGCTGATGATTAAAGGCCTTATCACCTCTGTTGTGAAGTCAGTGGGAATGTTTCCATTGGCTTTACCCTGTGCTCTTCTGAGAAGCTGGGATCTAAACTTTTCCTATGAAACATCACCCGTGGCAGTAAGAAATCCAGAAGGCAAAGCTTTTAAAGTAATTGGGTGTTACTCATTTCACAAACCTGAATTAGTGTGTGACCATTAAAGTGTCGAAGTTGATGTTCAGTTAGTACTAATTAAATACCTTTGCATTTCCCAGTGGAACTTAAGGAATAATGCTTCTGAAATATTTTTACATTTTGGACTTTGTATGGTAGCTAATTCTGGAGATTGCAAAGTTCAGATCCTCTGTATTGCCCCAAATCTGCTCTGCTTTTGGCCAGAAACCTACATTGAGAGGCATCTGATAGAAGTGACAGTGATGTGTTGAAGGAATACTCTGTCCTTTACTCTGAGAGTGTTTTCACATTCAGCTTTGAATATAGGTTATATTGTGAACATGGTTGCCAAATATAATTAGAAAATATTCTCCCCCTGTACAGAAAGGGGCAAAACCTGTTGGTTTACCAATGAAAATAGTTTTCTGTGAGTTTCTGTGAAGGATACGTGAACTGTGCTTTTCCCCAGGTAGAATTTGAGAAAATGGTACTGAAAGCTTAAAATTCATATTTTTTAGGGCAAGGCTGTAACAGTTATATGATTGGAAATCCTCCCTGGAGGATGTTAAGTGTTCTGCAGTCTGCCTTGAGGAATCATCCTACATCTCTTCCTGCAATATATTTAAGTGACCCAGTTTGCCCACACAGATGGGTTGGATTTGGCAGAGAGGAGCATGGAAGGTGTTGAGCAGATGTTGTCGCTGTGCTGCTTTGCACAGAAAAGGCTGTTTTGTGATATTCCTCTCTACTGAAATTGGTCTGAAGTGCATGGGAAGCTGCTGGAGCTGCGGGTGTTGGTAGCACCAGGTCATCTCTTGGGATTACACGTTTTGCGTGCATCTCTTAGGACTACTTTTCTACTAGTCCTTTGCTGGTTTAGTTAGGTTTTTATCTGAGGTTAGTGTTGCTACCGTGCTCTATGCTTCTCTGGCTGTTGCAAACAGGCAGGAACATTTTACTTTTGTGAAAGCCCTACGTACTTCTCTATATAGTGTCTGAAGAAGTTGCTGTTCGGTTGGTTTCCCACAGGATACTGATTCCTCACAAGTTCCTGTGAAATTTGCATCCATTTGCTCCTTGGAAGTCAGTACTTCTGAACGCACATTTGAGCTTTTGGGGGTGGATATGGGAGATTGGGAGGTGGATGTGATGCTGAATAACTTGCCCATCTTGGCTCCCTTTGGCTTCGCTCTGTATCTTGTGACCAATAGCTATTAGACCAGTACTAAGTGTGCGTAAGAAAGCCTGCCTGCCGCTACTGAACTACTACTATTGAACTCTTTTTCTATCAGATACAGCTGCAAAAATGATATTCAGATTGTCATATCAGAATTTTTTGTGTGTTATACCAGTTGCTTTGTGTGCCATGTGAATGTCCTCGTTTGCATGGAAAAAAAATAACCGTTCAAGGCATTTAAAAAGAAAATTTGTGAAGCAGATGAAGTGTAGTTCCTTTGAGTGTTCTCTGGTAGCACTCTCGGCCTGCCTTGGTTTGCATACTTAATTAGTCCTTATTGTCTCTTTCAATCTAGAACCTGGTCCAAAACCATTCCTGGCAAAGTTGAATTCTTCTCCAGCGAGGGTTCAGACACCTCTATTCCCATCCCCGTCGTGCCGCTTCCAGGTGTAGATGACTCTTACCCACCCCAGAAGAAATCTTTCATGATGCTGAAATACATGCATGACCACTACTTGGACAAATACGAATGGTTTATGAGAGCTGATGATGACGTTTACATCAAAGGGGACAAACTGGAGAACTTCCTCAGGAGTTTGAACAGCAGTGAGCCCCTCTTTCTTGGGCAGACTGGCCTCGGCACCACAGAGGAGATGGGGAAGCTGGCTCTGGAACCAGGCGAGAACTTCTGCATGGGGGGACCAGGAGTGATCATGAGCCGGGAAGTCCTGCGGAGAATGGTGCCCCACATTGGCGAGTGCCTGCGAGAGATGTACACTACCCATGAGGACGTGGAAGTGGGAAGATGCGTACGGAGGTTTGCAGGAGTGCAGTGTGTATGGTCCTATGAGGTAAGGACGAGGGCGCAGAGAATGAGGTGTGTGTTTTGGGGGAGGTAGAGGAGAGGGTGGCAGAGGCTGGCAGCAGGGGATTGCTCTTGTATGGCCATGCAGCAGTTCCTCCAGAGCTCGCCTCTCTTTGCTACTTGACCATCCAACTGTACAGTTGCTACACAATTTGTTTCCTACGAGTGTCACCCTGGGAGAGACCTATGCAAATACGGAAGTGCAACAGTAAGGAGGGAAATGGAGCCTGACATTAGGCCCATGGGGGTGAGGGGAAGAACATTCATCATTCGTAACACTTATTTTTATTTAGACAGAGAATAAGCTTAAATCAAAATGGCCATGGGTCCCTTCAGTCTTGACTGTCCAAGCCTCTTTTATCTTCTTTAGGTGGGTATGTCATGGTGTCAGTGTGAAAAATAGATAATACAATTACTGTGTTTCTCGCTGCAGTTGAAATATGCAAGGCTGACAGATGTTTTCCCTGACAGTGACAGTTTTTTCCCAAACTAAAGCCATGGCAGAGATGTCTCATGGTGGCTGGCACTGTCATCCTGTGGGCTGAGCTGCCTTCCAGCCTGCCCCCAGCCCAAACCTGCTGTGCTCAGGGGACTTGCTGGCAGCCCCATCCTGCAGACACCCACTGAGCAGGTCCTTGACGTCAGCAGAGACAAGCAACTGCTCTTACACCGAAACTCAGGGTCTGCCCACACAGATGTGGCTGCAAATTGGGCACCTTGGGGGGGGGAAAAAAGAGAGAGTCCCTAGCCTGCCTGTGACGGTTTCGTGCTGCTGTTCCTGCTGGGTGCTGGCAGCTCCTCCTAGGGGCGAGGGGGGCTTCTCCTGCCTGGGTGTGCTGGGCTCTTTGAAGTGAGTCGTGGGTGTTTACAGGCTGTCTGATTGAAAGCATGTGCAGGGCTTGAGCTGAAGTTTCTTCTCTAGTACCAGGGAAAATCCTGGTGGATCTGCCTTAGAAATAAGGGAGAGGTTGAGAGCAGAAGAGAGGGTGAACAGTTTGTCTTTTTACAGAAACATTTATGACTTGAACGCAACTATGGCTTTGTCCTTTTATGAGATGTGGTAAAGAGGGGGATTCTTCTGCCCACGTGACAGGGGATCTGTGGTCACAGATGACGACAGATACTGCTGCTGACCCACTCTTTCACTGGCAAAGACTTGTCTTAAACTTTTTGACACTTAAACTTTCTGCCCCCAAAAGCTGTTGCTTCATTTAAACTCACAGTTCAGTGACAGGGATGGAGTTTTACAGCAGCAGTAATTCATTCATATCTTTTGTGCATAAAGACTTTCTGGACCAAGTCACAGTTCAGTGACAGTGATGGAGTTTTACAGCAGCAGTAATTCATATCTTTTGTGCATAAAGACTTTCTGGACTAACAGTAGCTCTCCACATTCCCTGCTTACAGACCTGGAACTGGTTTATGTATTGCCAGCATCGTGGTTAGCCATTCATACGGAGTCGGTAACTTTTTCCACAGTTTTTAGCAGCATAGAATTTTTACTCTAGACATTCTGAGTTGAAATAACTTCTGGTGTGAATGCCTGTACCGTGTGGCATTCGATAACTTACTGAAGGTCAGTGTTTTGGTCCTACTGAAACTGGCAAAGGCCTCCTGAATTCAGTGTGATCAAATTTTGGCTTGAAATAGCTAACGGTAGCTCACAGCTGCAATAGGAATGCTGTCTGACAGAATTAGATTGGGCTTTTCTCAAAATCAGTTTTGTTTGATCAGCTTCGGTTAAATTATCCATAGTGCTGGATTCTCCCAAGTGCCATGAATTACTTAAAATTGGTTTGTGTGAATTGTATAAACTGTAAGATGTTCAGAAATAAGCCATGAGTGTGAGATGTTAAGGCTCAGCTGTTTTGGGGAGAAGGAAGACTTTCAGTTATGAAAGCACACTGCTTCTGCAAGGAGTAGGTCCACTCTCATTTAGTTGAGGCTTTTCAATTTAAAGACCTGTCATCTCTTCCTTTTTTTGATCTGGTCTTCTCATTACCCAGACAACTAGATTAAATGTGCCTGGTATTTTATTTAAGATAAAGCAATAGCTGTGTGAAATAACGCAGCTGTCGTAACAGCAGTGTTAGGAAAGCTTGGTGTAAAAGCGACATTTTCCATGTCTTGCACATTCATGGTCATCAACTAACAGGCCACTGTAAGCAAACTGCAAAGCATCGTATTTCAGTGAGCTTCTGACAGAGCAAAAAGTTTATCTTTGCCTGCTCTGCTGGGGCACAGCCACCACATTCTTCACAATTCCCGTCGAAAGGGAAGCAGCGACAGCACGAGGCTCAGCAAACAAAACGGCGTTGGCCTTGGAAAACCCAGACCTCAAACTTCTCCTTTGCTTCCTGCACTTTCTATTCTGGAGAGTCTCAAGTGGCAGCATGAACAAGGATGGGTCTTTGCAGTCACCCCCAGCTCATTCATTTTCATTCTTAGTGCCTCGGACATGGAGAGCCCTGCTGGACCTCAGTTTGGGTGGTTTTTTTCCCCTGTACTGTTCTTGCAGCGGGCTCTATGCCCAGAGTCGTTTTACTCATCTCCATGACTGTCACTGCCCCCTTTCTTTGATTTTAGGATCCCACAATGTCTTTACTGTGCTGCTGATCTTCCCTGGCTCTGGCTCTGGTGTTGTGCACAAATGCGTCTCCAGGCCTGGCTCTGTGTTTTATTTTCTGCTCGCAGCAGTCTGTCTCAAAACCCTTTTTTCCCCCCCTTCCTGTGTTTCTGTCACTTACGCTGCTCTCTGCGGTGCCTCTTAGACCACTTCATTAGTGGCACCGGTTATTGCCCGTTTCAAGACTTGTAAAGATTTGTTCATGCTCTTCCTGCCGTCAGGAGCTTTTCAGCAAATACAGTAAAAGAGTTGACACCACGATTCTTTGGACTTCCTGTTTTATCTCGTCCCAGAAAAGAGGCAGCAACAGTATGTGCTAGCTTGAGGAGCGCTGAGGCTCCTAGGGCTCTGGTGAGCTTCGTCTGATGCACCCGAGCTGCTGTTTCAGAAGTGGTTTGCAGCCCTTCAGGGATTTTAGGCTCCTGTGACCAGGCTTGTGGCTGTTGCCTTACTTGAGACAGGTTGAGTGAGTCACAGATGAGACAGACTTAAAATGCAAGTTCTTCATGGCAAGGGTTATCATCATTGTAAAAACAAAACAGAGACTGCTACTGCTATTTGGCAAATACCTGTAAAATTCAGCCCTCTATAGGGTGGAACACTGAAAGCTATGGATTTCATTTAGCAAACTGGAAGAAAAAAAAATCATGAAAAGAATGGAGCTGTGAAATCTCTGAAGCTTACAGATGGGAGCCTGACAATTTATAAAGCGATACAGAGCGCAGTCCTTCCTCTTGAAGAGGGCAAAAGGCTTGTGCTGAACTTGCTAGGAAGTGATTCTGCATTTCTAGGGAATGTTGGTATTTTGGACTTCTGGCACACTGCTGTGTGTTTTTTCCCAAAAAAGTTTACGTGTTTGTCTCCTTCCTTCTCCTGTTTTCTCCCACCAGTACTTCTTCTGGTTCGTCTTGTGTGGATCACAGAGACATGCTAGTTTTGTTTTCTCATGCGCTGTCCTGTGGTGCCATGGGTGGTCTTGGCTATTCAGTCCAAGAACAGGTTTCAGCTTTGATGACGAACTATCTTATTTGTGATTTAAATGATCCCAACGTAGTGTGTTGGTCTCTGTTTTCATTTTGAGTCTAATGTTTCCTTTAAATGCATCTTAATTACGAAGCCATCTCTCTGTAGCTTAGTGTTGTTTCAGCCTTGTTTCGTAGCTGCTGCTGAGTATTGTTCTAATTTGTGTTTGACATCCTCATCTTAAGAGTGCTCGTAACTTTAATACAAGCCCTTTGTAGCTACTAGAAATCAAGGCAGTGCTGATAACATACCCCATTAACTTCTTCGGTAATAAAACCCTTCTGACACACGTTGCTTTCAGGTGATACTAACTGCTTTATGTCCTACAGCGCAATAGAAACATCTGGATCCAACAGAGCAGCTCAGGCTACCTCTAACTGCTGGTGCAAATGCTCAGATGTTTCGTCTGTTTTTCCTTCTGTTCTGATTGAGGTAGTGAGAGAAATTAGGTAAGCAAGTGTGTCTGTGTGGAGACCAGCAACAAGTACTCTTAAATGTCCTGAAGTGAGACAGGATTTTTTATAATATACGTGGAAAAGAAGCTGTGACAAAGGGAGTGATCACATCAGGAAATGTGGGCATCAGGGAAGAGTAGGTCCAACCTTTTGGGCATTGGCAAGGGGAAAAAGTAGGGTAGTGGTGACTAGGGATAGCGGGGAGGCTTCTGTGAGAAGGGGGATTTGAATGAATGTGTTGTGTGGTCTTTCATCGGTAGTAATTGAAGGTAATTACTACTCTGAAATTCACTGAAGTTAGGAAAGCCCTTAAAGTGCACATTATATCTGCCAAGTGCATTGATAGTGCCAGAACATACCGTTTCTGAAATGGACTCTCCCATGGGCAAAACTGAAGCTTATGGTTTTCTGTAACATAGCCAGAAGTCAAAAAAAGATAAAAGTCCTGCAGCGATTGATCAGAACTGAAATACAGGGGACAGATGCAACTGTTAACCACTAACCTTCAGTTCCCTTGCTTTGTCCTCTGAGGAAGAACCTTCCTTCATTAACAACAAAGGAGATTCAGCATGTTTCTAGCTGGTCGTGCATGACACGCAGCACGTGGTGACTTCAGCAGCAAGTGCTGTACGTCTCAGAGCAGGGCAGGACAGGGTCTGTGAGGAGGGGCTTGGGCAGGGTGCTCCGAATCCCCTTGGTTCACTGCAGCTGTGTGGGGCAGCAGGGTTGGACTGCGATGTTTGGTCGCTCTTGCTCTGTGAACCCTTGCCTTGGACTCTAGGCAGCAAACTTGCCTCGACTTGCGTTTTCGGTGGGAGCGTCCAGCAGCACTTCTGAAATCAGACGCTCTAATATATATGTATTGTCCCAGCTTCAAAGCTC